TTACCTTTGATTTTGAACATGTCAGGTCATTGTATATAAAGGACCGGTTGCTGACCCTGATCATGATGGGGATAGTAACAAACCTCCAGCCCCAAGTGCTGTCAAAGAGGTGGGTAGCTCAACAGAATGGTTTCAATTACTACACAATATAAATGAACGGAGAAAATTATGTTTTTGTTCGATTGGAAAACTGGTAGCTTGCTTGTGTCTGCCAGTAAACATCTGAGAAAGTTCTCTGAAACCTAGAACTGAAACCGTCACTGGTAAATAATTGTTTGGATGTGTCATAGAACATGTGTTTCCAGTTGCATAAGTCGAATCGGTTGGGACCGCAAACAAATAGTTTGACTTAGTCAAAATGCGACTTAAGAAGTGTAAATAACACATGATTTGCATAAGTTTTCAAGAGAATGTATTTAACTAATAACAAAAATATGACTTGTACTTGAGTTATGCAGATATAACTGTAATTAACTTTACACTAACGTTACCCTGTCCTAAAGTGTGGTGAAACTTTGAGTCCTGTTAGATTAGAGGACAGTAAAGCTAGACCAAAGGGCACTTAAACTTGACTTATAAATCATTATCTACAGTTGAAGGCAGGACTAACTCCAATTCTATTTTAGAAAATCTGGTTATTTTAGGCCATATTCTACATCTAGTTTATGTGGTAACTGTGAAACTGTGAAATATTGCGCTTCATCAAAATGGTAGACCTTTCTGAAACCGTTCTGTGTCAGTAGGTTTATGGACAATTGTAAATGAGCTTCCAAGAAAATATTAATAGTGCATGATTAATTTTGGTCGAGATATATTGGAAACAAACCTCGAAATAAATGTACTGTTTATGGATGAGGAAGATGAGAGGACCATTTTTTCCCTTCACCCAAATCGGCAATACCCGTTCATGTGTCTCGGCAGACTTTGTTAGGTTAAGAGACAATATAAGCCAATGTGACGTGCGATTCATGCACTTTCCTAATGACAGTCTCACTGTAGATCCGTATGTTGTTAATTTAAATCAAAAGCTTGAAGTAGCCAAAAATGAATTAAAAATAATATCTGTCTTGGGGCTGTTGGTGTATTTATGGCAGGTGATGGACTTTGTAACGAAAAACCTTGATAGCCTTATTCAGCACTGGGCTAGGAGGATCGAGTATGATGTCCGCTTTCTGTGCCCGAGCCCGAAGTGCAAGTCGAAGATACTGCTTAAAGACTGTTACAAGGGAATGTCACTCAAGTGTAGACTACATACCATCCCTACTGCTGCAATCAAGTTCAAGTTTGGTAGGTCTATAAGACTTGGTACCCCACCGAAAACTATTTTTCTCTGTATTGAAACGAATTTCCCACACAGCAAACCGATGGTGCCATTAATATATACACTAGTCTCGCGAAGAGGCTTTGAGTGAGGAAAATGTAGGATAATAACTTTTCCATATCTGGTGATTGGTGACACCTGTTATTGGGCAAACACCCGAATGGTGTCAAATTCTCCATGAGAGCCCACTATAATATGCATCTTTAATATAGATAAAAGGCACGCATGTGTAAACTAGTTTACGCACCTGTACACACTGACATAGAATAGGAACCCAAGTCCAAGTTTAGTATCGTATGTGGGGGCTTATGCTTTTTTGAATGCCTTCATATGCCTTAACTATTAATGCATAAAATGCCAGGTAAAACTGTGTTTATTGTATACCTTGTAGCTGTACACAAATAATATGTTAGCTGATTGGCGCACTTTGGGGTTATTGGTGCAATACTTGTACTTCTGTGTATACAAGATTTCTTGGTCCTCCCAGTGATGCCAAAAGGCCCTGATTCTCTTTAAATTGTTTTAATAATTCTCAACATGCCATAATTATCTGTTCCACATTTTACTTTGATCAAACAAATACTGAATTTTTCACAAACGATGAGATTGGTGATGAATTTGTTGAACCTTCTTTAGGGCTCCTAACCTTTATTACTCGTAACCCTAATTCCTTTGTATAATTATGATTGAAAAATTTCGAAATTAAAATTAATCTCACAAGTATCTTATCATTCTATATAAATAGTATATAATATTATGTCTTATTATATTTGGTGTCAGGAGTGAGATTAGGTTTACACTTATTGTACCTGAAATGTTTATGTCAAAAAAGAATAATTTTCTAAATATTTCCAAACTATCTCTAGATGGTGTTAGGAAAGTCCAAAATCACAAACCTCTAAAATATGGATGTATATCTTGCCAGTGGATAGTATTGCTGTGATAGGGGTTTGAACCCTATACCTTGTGATCCACAGCCCTCCTATTCCTCCACTAGACCTCAACTCTTTTCAATTTGAATTTATTTCTGCATGTATTTAGGTATGAGTGACGAAGGAGTGGAGTCAGGGAACAAAAGTCCAATAAGTAAGTATGCAACACTTCATCTTCTCATTGTTATCATTTTTTTCTGGAATCAATATAAGAAGTAGGATTTGATTTTCTTAGTTTGAATCTGCCTATTCAATAAGCTCACAAATACCATTCTATATATGTTAGTATAGAATATTGTGTCTTGTTTCAATCAAGAGAGGGTTTACTGTTATTCTATTTTTTCTTGTTTCAGCTGCAGCTATTTCTCAAAAATAATGCCGGCTTATATAACACATCATAGGGTGCGTATCCGGACACCTACCCCCTGGACATCAACCCCCGGATAACCACCCCGAACAACTACCCACTAGACAACTACCCTGTTACACCCTCAAATGTAATAACTCCCACAAATGTAATAACACTTTACCCACAAATGTAACAACACCCACAAATGTAATAACACTTTACCCACAAATGTAATAATTTCACCCACAAATGTAATAACCACTTTACCCACAAATGTAATAATTTTTAATCACCCACAAATGTAATAATGACTTTACCCACAAATATAATAAATTTGAAGTGATATTTTGAATCACCCACAAATGTAATAATGACTTTACCCACAAATGTAATAAATTTGAAGGGATATTTTGTCGAATTTAAAACTAAAACCCTGTAATAAAGCTGGGTATAGCGCGCAGTCTTTGCTCCAGACCCGGTTATTAAAAAAAAAAAAAAAAGTCTTCAAAACTAAGACTCCACCATCTTCCAAACTAAGACCCGGTAATAAAGCATGGCTTTAGAGCGTAGTTTTTCTTCCAGACCCGGTTATTTCAACACTTTTTAAAAATCTTCAAAACTAAGACCCCATCATCTTATTCCTGTGGAAGAACATATGTGTGTGTGTGTGTGTATTTGGCTTTTACAGACGTGTATCAATCAGATATGATTATTTACGTCTGGGGACCGACCTTTAACGTCACCATCCGAAAGACGTGACTCAGTTTCGAACCTGCGTCCTCGGCTGAATCAGTTTGTAACTTCCACTGTAAGCTGGATTACAGGCGCACGCCACAACGCCTAGTTGTATATATATAAGTATTGAGCGTAGTCTTTCCTCCAGACCCGGTTTTTCAACAGTTAAAAAACAAAAAAAAAAAACAAAAAAAAAAAACCTTTTAAACTAAGACCCCTCTATCTTCCAAATTAAGACCCGGTAATAAAGCATGGGATTAGAACGAAGTCTTTACTTCAGACTCGGTTATTTAAAAAAAAAATCTTCAAACTAAGACCTCACCATCTCATTCCTGTGGAATAACATGGGTATAGAGCGTAGTCTTTCTTCCAGACCCGGTTATTTCAAATGAAATAGAAATTTAAACAAATCTTCGAAACTAAGACCCACCATCCACATATGTAATAATGTAATTTATTTTTTAAATGAAAAAAAAAGAGGAATAAGATGATGGGCTTAGTTTCGAAGATTTGTTTAAATTTCTATTTCCTTTGAAATAACCGGGTCTAGAGGAAAGACTACGCTCTATACCCATGTTATTCCACAGGAATGAGATGGTGAGGTCTTAGTTTGAAGATTTTTTTTTTTAAATAACCGAGTCTGAAGTAAAGACTACGTTCTAATCCGTGCTTTATTACCGGGTCTTAATTTGGAAGATAGAGGGGTCTTAGTTTAAAAGGTTTTTTTGTTGTTTTGTTTTGTTTTGTTTTGTTTTTTGTTTGTTTTTTAACTTTTGAAAAACCGGGTCTGGAAGAAAGACTACGCTCAATACTTATGTTCTTCCATAGGAATAAGATGATGGGGTCTTAGTTTTGAAGATTTTTAAAAAGTTTTGAAATAACCGGGTCTGGAAGAAAAACTACGCTCTAAACCCATGCTTTATTACCGGGTCTTAGTTTGGAAGATGGTGGGGTCTTAGTTTTGAAGATTTTTTAATTTTTTTGAAATAACCGGGTCTGGAGCAAAGACTGCGCGCTTTACCCATGCTTTATTACAGGGTTTTAGTTTTAAATTCGACAAAATATCCCTTCAAATTTATTACATTTGTGGGTAAAGTCATTATTACATTTGTGGGTGATTCAGAATATCACTTAAAATGTATTACATTTGTGGGTAAAGTCATTATTACATTTGTGGGTGAAATTATTACATTTGTGGGTAAAGTGTTATTACATTTGTGGGTGTTGTTACATTTGTGGGTAAAGTGTTATTACATTTGTGGGCGTTATTACATTTGTGGGAGTTATTACATTTGAGGGTGTAACATACCCCCTAGGACAACTTCCCCCTAGGAAAGTTGTGCGGGGGGGGGGGGGGGTAGTAGTCCCAGAGGATGGTTGTCCTAGGGGGTAGTTATCTGGGGGTAGTCTTCCGGGGGTAGTTGTCCAATCTCCACTGCCTTCCTATCTCCACTTTCGTAGATGCTTCAGACTTCTAACCAATTTCCATTATAGTCTAAGAGATGTTTTTGTTTTCTTCATCTGCGACGAAAAGGGGAAGCGCCTGCCAAGGCAAACCTTTTATGGAGAATTGAAGATGGGCAAAAGGTCTTTTGGATGCCTCTTTCTCCGTTGCACGTACATCCTGAAGAGATAGCTGAAGGTGACTAAGATCTTCCCTGACTCACTTGAGTGAGAAAGCCGTAGTCGCACAGAATGGAGGCGACTTGTTGCTACAGCAGCCAATGGGGCAGAAGTAGAGTGCTCTCAAGCTGCTGAGAGCAAGAGAGCTGCCAATCTGTGTGGATTCCGCTGGGCCAGCATAATTTAACTGTGGAGCTATACAAGAAAACACTAATTGGTTTTATCATGTCTTTATCGTTGACGATGGACTGCCAATGATTCTTTTTAAATTTGTAAACCATAATTTGGCAAATGCAATCAATGAGTATAATATATTAGCCTGTATATTAAAGTTGGACCTACATTATTTGTTTTACTTAGTTACGATATTGTTTGTCATTCAATCACAATCAGGCGACTCATCATCCAGAGAAATGACTGCACACACGGGACCGTCAACATCTGCTGGCATTCCTCTTCAATATGCATTAGCAGACGGTGCAGGTTCTTCTCGAAAAGCAAGGTCAGAGTCTTCTCTATCTAGCAATTTTGTTTCCTATGATTGGTATTAGAATCTCACAAGTAGAATAAAGAACTTGATACTAGATGATATTGTCGAAGACGTCACTCTCAGATCCCTACTTTTTACACGCAGTCGGGAGTTGTGTTTGTTTTGTCATCCATATTAGACCGTAAAAAGCCCAAATCTAGTGATTTTTTAAGAGACACTAATTTTAACAAGTGAACATCAAAATCCATGAAAGTGACACTAATTTATGTCTTCTTTTGCGTAATTTTAGCACTTTTCTGCATGATTCCAATAGGAACAAATTTCATCAATAATTGTATAATATCGTGAAAGATGGCGCTATGAAATAAATCCAAACAAGATAATTGACCATCGCTGGCAATCAACCCACCATAATTATTGTATTATTTCCGCATCTCCTTTATTCATGTTATGTAATACATGTTTGCATACTATTCGTGAGATGCATAAGCTTTTTTGTTATCATGAAGAAAACTAAATTGTGAACAGATTATTGTCCTTTGTATGGTTATGCATTAAATGAAAATGCAATCGTTTCCTTTGTTTAAAAGGCTGTTTACGGAGCGCACATGATTTGTCCTATTTGTCGTGGAGCCATCGGTATACCCTAAAGGCGTGCTCTTTTTTATAACTCCACCTGTTTGAACATATTTGCTACAATTATATGGTAGTTAATTTTGCCATCATCCTCAATACAGCGAGCACTTTCATCTTGGAACATCAGAGATGGAACTACACAATCTTGCAGAAAAGCTTGGAAATCATACAAACCTGCAAAAGTTGGCCATAAAATTAGGTTTTGATTTTGCGAAGTGGCTGCAGTACAAAGCCACCAATACTCGGAGAGATGGCCAGATTTGCAGTGAAGGAACACTTTGTATGCTCATTGATTGGAAGAACGACACTCTGCAGGTCTCACAGAAAGAGCTGTTGAATGAAGCCTTGATATTTGCTGGTTTTGCAGAGTTTGCAGGTTAGTGCTGTACTCTTCTTGTTATCATGATGGTAGAAGGTTTGCATCAAGATTACGTTCCGTTAAATGGATAGATATGTGTGTGTTAGACCCTGAATTATGATTTTAAAAGTATGTTATTACATCCGAACATTGAAAAAACATCATTCTTAAAACAACACAAAATTAAGAATTTGAAATGCGGAACGACACATCATAATTGTAATTCCAAAAGGCGCTAAATCCAAACAAATTGAAAAAGTAAAACAATATTTAACAATAATTACTATGGCAGGATTTCTTTAAGCAATATTTTAATAATGTTTGGGGGTAGATCTTTGAACTGTGTAAAAATTTGGCGGTTTCGTTAAAACAAAAGTGGTCTAACAGAAAACCTTGATTTTACTCAAAAACACCAAAAGGGGATTTAGCGCCTTTTGGAATTAAACTCTTCATATACAGAAGAAAATATACCAAATAAATCATATTCAAACACACGGACAGAAAGCATACTCTGATTGCGCGAATTAACATTTGATTTGACAAAACAAGACATGAAAAACAACTCATAACTATGATTTATTCACAAAATGAATTTGTAGGCACATTTCTGTGTACAGTGGTATGACCTTCAGCAAGACCCGAGTCAATTTCTTTTTCATTTTCACAATTCCAAAATCTCACAGTATAATAATAATAATCATAATAAGAATAATAACAGAACGTTCATATATAGCTCATAATAATGTGTATAATTTATTATGCGCTTTACTTAAAACAAATAATTATGTTAACATACATTGTACCAGAACACAGAATACATATACAAATAACATAATGAATACAAGATATTACGTATGTGTGACAATAGCCAATATCGTGAGAAATGCACCAACCATGTAGTACAAGCTCCTTACACACTCAGAGAAAACCACACGCCAGAGGGCTGTCATCATCATCAATATCATTATGAAAATCAGTAATTTCCTTCATACGAGGGGTTAATTTTTATATAGCTACCTTAACGCTTTCTTTCCACACCATTTCTTTCCACGGAACCTTCAGTCTTCATTTCCATCTTAAGCCATTAAACCGTTCTATTTTATTATGATGTGCTTTGCAAACCATCTTCAATTTTATTATATTTGTATTCAAGGTACTAGTTCCACATTGTCAACAGAATGATCCATTGCACTCTAGTGACCTCTGACCTCAGGGTACAGCGGTACGGGTTGCTTCAGAGGTTTAGCGGATCCTCCCGCGAATCGACGATTTGCCAACTATTTCAAGCTCGTCGGTGAACCTATATGTGAATTTTGTTTTAATACCGGCTCCACGTATTTTACAGGTAGACATGATTTTGTGCCACCGACAAGAGCTGCATTATCTTATTTTTGTTTTCTTTTTATGCACTGTTAAAAGGTCTTCCCATAACATGGTGTCTAATACAATTTTCACTGTACATACTATGCATCATCTTCTAATTTTATTCAAATTAAATTAATTTAAATTTAATTCGATTCTAATACACAACATTGTGAGTTCGACAACTCAGGAGTTCATAATCTGTATATCATACCACAACAAAGAAGTACTCATTGCAGTTAAAAAATATAAAACATATGTAAACGGATATGTAATAGGCCTATCGTTCGAAAATAGAATTATACAAACAAGAACAAGAGTTAGAAGTATTGGATGGCCCCACTCTGACGATCTGCGACAGGATGACGTCACTCTGACATCAGACGATCTGCACATGCACCATGTTGCCAGTTACTACCCTGTCCAATTTACTATGAGAATTAAGAACGTGGTTACCTCGGTTTAGGTGCCAGTCACTACACTCTTGAACACTGTCTATATAGCAATAGTACGTACTTAACTAAGCGGTAATATTAGAGATCACTCAAAGTGGCCCGGCGGGGAGAATGCATATGCATGATGGAAAGTACGTCACACAACCGATGTCATCATGTTCACTAGTGCGGCGAGCGGGCGTTGACTGAAATAGAAACCGTTTCAAAGGGTAGTGAACAAGGTGTGTCGTCTACCTGAGTGAACACGCCCTCTGGACTAGAAGGGCGTTCTCGTCGACACAATCGTAAAGCCTTAGACAATACTGCAGAACGGTCTAGAGAATACCTCGGAATAGATTCCAGACAGTCTAGCAAATTCGTTTGAGGCATATCAAAAGAATGAGGCCATCATCTTGCTCTAGACTTCATCTTACCGTTACAAAAATCTTAATACAATTTACATTTCTTTAGCAAGCACCAGTATAGAAAGACCATTTTCCTTTTTTCCCCTATAAAATTGTTTTTCATTGCAAAAAATGCACTGAAGAAACCTACACACACCAGCTTACATAGACCTCTTTTCTGGTCGTCAGAGTGCCGTCATCATGTCGCAGTTCACTAAGCCCTATTTGATTAAATCTGATTGGAGTCCAAGTGAGCTTCTTTTTGTAATGCCTTCTTCTACTGCTGGTTGTTAGTCCACTTTTAGACCTTGACCAAATGAACATTAATATGTCATGGCTGTTACTTGGTTTGGGGAAATGGGCTTATTATCTGAAAGGAGTGTTGTTGTGAATGAGAAGACCATAATAAAACTTGATAATTGCATGATAACTTTTACATGGAAGTTGTATGAATCATATCTTTTTAGAAATGCGATATTGTATGAGTAAAATTGTTGAACAATTGTGATATTTGTAAACACTTGAGCTTCCTGTTTGCTCCCTTTTTTGTAAATGTGGTAATCATGAATATATATACTATTTTTCGCCACATAAAATGTATTTTATAAATGTACTTAACTGTGCTAATAAACAAATTAAAATTACATAAACATGTCACTTCCAAAATAAATTATTGCAATACTTGTGAGAATATTGAAATGTACAAAGATAGTTAATTCAAGAATCAAGTACTGTATCGGTAATTGATGTCCTAATTTGTCAATATACCTACAATGTATTTCGAAAAATATGTTACTGTATGAAGCCGTAGCCATCAGCTACCTGTAATTCATCGAGTCATGGCGTAGAGTCGGGTGGACGCGTAACATGATTTTTTTGTAAAAACATGCCCCTTTATTCACGAAACTTGTGTTAAATAGCATTGCCGATTGAATTATCCCATTCCTATATGCTTAATATGTGAATCAAATTGTCCAGTAGGCAATGTGTTATACGTCTTGTCACATCATCATTTCCATCGTGAACAGAGTGGGCGGCAGATATTGATAATTCAAGAGGATGGAAAATGTTATGGCAATGTTTGTGTTCAAAATAGATTTATACAATTTTCATAACACATTGAAATTAATAAACACCTGGTTTTCAAGTACCTTTATGTATGCAGTGATAAACTTTACAGTTAACTTTGAAATTAACTTTAAAATTAATGATGTTATTAAGATATACATGTAGGCCTATAATGTATAATATGTCAGTAAAAATGTCAGTAATAAATTTACATTTGTTGTAAGGATTAGCCATGCGTTTTGTATGCAGCTTTTGATTCTTGTAAAAATATTTGGGAAACAAAATATTATTGTCGGGAATTAGAATTTCCGTCGTGATATTATTATTATAGGTGATCATCTTCCCGAGAAAGGTTAGGATGAAGTTAGGGCTGATGGGATGTAAGTTCACCAAAAAAATAGTTCACAAAATATGTGCATGGTCAGCAGATGCGCG